ACACCAGAAGAAAACGATCGGCTCAAAACTCACAGGCTACCTAGTCGCCCAATCGTCTATTCCACATTCACAAACTCAATGCATGGCGATTGTAATCGAAGAGTAACCAAGTCAAGACATCACATTCATTTAAGCACACATGAGAACTAAGCCTTCGCACAATGTTAATGCACTCTCCGTCATCTTAATAGGATGCACTCGAGTATATGCAACAATTCAAGAACGATGCCAAATAAGCACAGGATTCATCATCCAACCGGCCATTTTGAACAAGCATTGCTTGGAGCCCTCAATCTTTTTCAAATTTGGGCATACATCAAGGCTCCAAGCATTCAAAATCACACCAAACATTCACACACACATGCATAATGGACTACCCCCCCCCCCCCCCACCCACACTTAAGCTCGACATTGCCCTCAATGGCGTAAAATAGGGAAGTAGAACGATGTTACCGGATAGTGGTGTATGTTAGTGTTCGCGAGTGGAGGGAAGGTGAGATCCTGAAGAGCAAGGAGACGACAAAACACCGCCAAAATCTCTCCAATGGTCTTCTTATTTGAATGGAAAAGACATGTGAACTGTTGATGGTTGGGTTGCCTCCCACCAAGCGCTTCTTTAACATTGTGAGTCGGACGGTTGTTATTCAAGTTTCAGTCCATCCAAGAACCTCCTTGAAGTTGAGGTTCTCGTCGGTGAGATGAAATCTCAAGTCAAGAGCATTGGACGAATCCATGATCGAGGGCTCGTGAACTTGAGTTGGCATGAGGCTCCACCCACGAGACCTCTCCTTCTTTCCTTCTCCTTCTTTCTCTTTGCCCCACACCATGTAATGCATCATCGCTTTGCTTCCATCGCATCCACCAAGAGGGATCGCCGATGGTTTGGCCTTGGCTTGGCAAAGAGACGCAAATGGGTCCTTCTCCAAAAGCGCATCGAGGTCGGGTGGAAAGCATTGGTAGCACTTGTAACTTGTGGATGCTTCATCCACCTCGACTTCGTCCTCATCTTGGATGCCACTTTCTCCTTATACTTAATCTTCAACCTCCTTTCCTTCTTCTTCTTCAATTTCCTCCCCTTGCAAACACTCGAGATCTTCCCCCTCTTTGATGCTTTCTTCCTCCTCTTCAACCTCTTCTTTCTCCTTCCACTTCATGTCTTTAAGCACTGTTTGGAGGGCAAGATGCGATGCAAGATCATAGAAAAGATTTTCTTGCTCCTCCACACTTGTGACTCGGCCTTCAACTTTGCTCTCGGGTACGGGAAAGTGATGAGAATCGTCAATGCAACCTTCTTGTTCATCCTAACCATGGGAGCTCTCCGGGGTGAGATCTTCTTTCTCCACACGGTTGTCATTGATCGCTCCTTCAACCTCCTCTTTCTCCTCCAATAATGAGAGGCGATAGCTTTCACAAGCTCGTGCCACTTTCTCTTCTAGTGTCAAACCGGGAGGAAGGAGGGGTTGGAAATCCATGCCGGAGCTCGTTCTTCCAAAGGTCTCATGGCTTGCCTCTTCGACCTCCTCTTTCTCTTCTTCAAATGGCGGGAGGCGATTGTGAGCAAGTTGTGCACATGCTTGCTCAACAAGCTCTTCTTGCCTCTTCGTGCGTCGAAGGAGATCCTCCGATTGCCGAAGAAAGGTTGAGTCGATAGGGTCGGCGATGGGAAGATCCGAATTGGAGCATCCTTCATCGGTACCCCGGGAAAATTGCTCCACCATGAGCTCCCAGTTTCTCTTTGGATCTTGTTGTGGAGTGGCACATGATCTTGATGATTGTTCCATGAAGGCTTCCATGTCCAACTCCAACTTGGATTTCTCCTCGGGTTGTGGAGGAAAATATTCTTGATATGTGGAAGCCTCTTCATATCCCCAATGGTATGGTTTTTCGTCTTGGAAGGGGGGCTGGTAATAGAACCCGGATCCTTGGCTTCCCCCTTCTTCTTCACTCCATGAAGCTCCAGGGTACCCCCATTCGGATGGTTGTGGATACCCCCACCTATTGTAGAAGTCATTGGGATCCATGATTCATAACCTACACAAACAAAAACACAAAAAGAAAATCAAACAAACACAAACCACCCTTCAAGACGAAGAGTGGGTAAACAAAACACGAACAAAAAGGCAAGATAGAAAATGCTAGAGTAACAATAAGCGACCTTTTCAAAATAATGGACCGCAGTTCCCCAGCAACGGCGCCAAAAACTTGACTCGCTCGGAACTACACTGCGAATAAATCCCGACTAGAGCCCAAGTTTTTAAACTCTAGCCGGGTGTAGTATAGGACAAATATTTAAATGTCAACCCGGGCCGATCCATGTACCCCTACTTCAATATCTTAGGTTGTTATCTAGCAAGCAACTTTTGGGTTTAGAACTAATGGAACTACAAACTAAACAAGTTAAGAAAAGTAAATAAAGGAAATTCTAACTAAGGGAGCTTCACCTAGGAGTTGCTTCCCCCTAACTAGCTACCATGACTCGTTGGAGTGAATGGAGTCGTGTGGTGTAGGTGGTTGTGAACCGTGGGGGTGAGAAACTAGTGATCGATTTGTCACGGAATCAATTCACTAGCGATCGATTTGTCACGGGATCGATCCACTCACCAAGTCTACGTGAACCGCTAGGAGGAGCAACTAGTGATCCATTTGTCACGGGAAGGATTCACTAGAGATTGATTTGTCACGGAATTGATCCTCTCACTCAGTCTCTACGGGTTTCCTAGGTCTCTCCCTCAAACCGGAGTTTGAGAGGCTTAATCACAACTAACCTCGATGCAAACTTGAGTCAAGGGGGATGCTCATCTCTAACCTAGATAGTAGGCACAAAGTGCCCAGGAAAACCAAGCGTGTCAAGCCTACCTAAAAAGGTGTGGTTTTCCTCTAATCTAAGTTAGGCAAGCACACAAGATTTGGAAAGCACAACTAAGTACAAGCACCATGAAGACACCTCTAATACTCAAATCGATGCAAACCCATATAAAATCATTCAATCTTAACAAGTAATTACAAAGTATTAGTTAGGGATCTACAACACCCAAGAGAAAGGAGTGAGTTTGTAGAGAGAGAAGAGAGGGATTACAAATTTGAGTTCAAGATCTTCTTCTTCTAGGCTTGAATCCTTGTCTTCAAAATCCACCCAAGCCTCCAATGATGCTCCAAGATCACTCTAGCACTCTCTCTCTCTCTCTCTCTCTCTCTCTCTCTCTCTCTCTCACACACACACACACACACTAGAACTCCCCTTTGGTGTTTTTGGGCAAACCCTAGAGAGGGAATTGAATTACTCTCCAAAAACCAGCTCCTTCCTCTCTCTCACCGCTTTGTCTTCATATTTGCCCGAAAGTGACCAGTTCACGGACGTGTTGGCCAGTTCACGGCCGTGAACACCTAAACGCGTCCGTGAACTCAGTGTCGTCCAAAACGCACCGCTTCACTCTCCTGGGTTCACGGTCAATGGCCCCAGTTCAGGGTCTTAGAGACCGTGAACTCGACTAGCGTCAGTAACTTCCGTAAGTGCCCTGGACACCTTGATGTTCACGGCCCATGCCTTATCTTCACGGTCTTAGCAGACAGTGAACTGCAGCTGTTTCCTGGACGCCTTCACTTCACTATTACGGACTTCGGACTTTTCTTCGATTTTTGCACTTTTGGACCTCCAATTATCCCAAAACTCGTCCTCGAACCCTCCACACGTTCTTGGACCTGAAATATCAAAACAAGCACAACCTAGCGTGAAATATCTCGAGGAACGATGAAATACTAAGCTAAACGAATAAGAAATGAGGGGTAAAATGTGTACATTTGGGCCCGAATCAGATAACTAGACAATTATTGCCATCCACCCTCATTTATGTAAGGCTTCGTCATGATCAACAAGTGCATTTCTTTGGATTTGCGAATTGCGAGCCAAACGTTTAACATTCCATCTGGAGTAGTAATGACTTTGACCGATGAAGGGGATGGAGACATGATCAAGGTGCCTAAATATGATTATGGTACCAACTTACCAAGTTGTAACACACGACCAAAGAAGGTACTTTTCGGCAATTGATCAAAGAGGAGAAGTTCAAAGTGAGAATGGAATTGTTGAACAAAAAGAGAATTGAAAATAGAAGGGAAGATTGGAGAAGAAGAACAGAGAAAGAAGGAGAACTGGGAAAGAGTGGGACTAGAGAGTATAGAGAGAGCAAAGAGCAGTTTTATTAATCGATATCTCTCCATCACTTTCAATAACCTATTTATATTGGCATCTTACAATTGAGTTTTCCTACACAATTACAAATCAATAACATAATTCTCAATCATTACCAAAAAATATTATGCCTCTCTCTTTCTCGACGGGTGGCTAGGCTAACGGACGACCGGTGAAGCGCAAATTAAAGGTGAAGCGTGAATGGCTGAGAGTGGGTGCTACGTTTCGTGTTTTTTTTTTTTTGTGTTTTGAATTTATGATTATTCTGATCAAAATGATGGTGTTTAGTTGTGGAGGGTAATCGGTCAATCCGATCAAACCATCTAGTTACTAGTTTTGATCGGCTTTCGGTTCTAAGGCTAAACGACATTCTGGCAATTGGTTGCAAGGTTGGTTTCATTCAGACCATGCCAAACTGCCTGCCTGACTAACGGTTTAACAATAGGGTTTTCAACCCACGGGTTGATCCAGTTTGACCCGGATCCATTGAGAAAAACGGGTGCCACAAACCCACAAGTCGACCCACAACATGGTTCTCAGTTTGGATGTCACATGACATTGTTTTCCCCTTTGTTATGAGAAATACTCTTTTTCCGGTTTTTACCTTCGCCTAATATGTTATATGAATGTGTTTGAATTTTCGTTATGTGTTGATTCCAAGTACGAATTATTATTTTGATGTAATTTAATATGTTTACCCATATGTTAGATGTGATTTAATAAAATTTATAAATGTATGAATAATATAATACTTTTTTATATATCCGAGCTAAACATGATTAAAACGACTGAACTATTAATTCTCAGCTCACTATAGGGTTGGCAACAGGGTGGGTCGGAGACGGGTTCCCAGCATCCGCACCTCGCCCTTGAGACCTCCTAGGGTCGGAGAAATCACCCACATTCGAACCCTCAGGGGCACATATTCATCAGCCACTCGCCCGACCTCGGGTAACGGGTTTACCCGAAACCCCACAAGCCCGGACTTCTCCATTCCTCCACCCTTGTGAAGCTCCAGATCGTCGTTACACCGCCAACCATCGTTGGGACAAAAGAGAGGAAAAGACAGAAAGAGGCAGGGATCAGAGCGGGGGTAGCTGATCCGCTTGTCAGATCCCCTTCTTCCATCGACGCTACTGTCAGATTCCTGATTCCATTGTCGCCGTCGTTTCAGCATCATAGATCCGAGTCGAGGAGTGGGAGAATCGAGGAGAGAGAGAATCGCCTAGCTATTCACATACCCGCTACAGGGAGACGAAGAATCGCCGACCAAGATCGATTTTCAGTCTTCACAGCATAGGTTAGCTATGTACACAAGGAGTGGGAGACAAAATCCTCACCTTCAGGTCCAACTCCAAACTTGGTTCTGCGGCTGCAGTTTCCTGCCTCTTCGACGAAGGGCGGGAATGGAAGATGATTGGAATTCAGAAGATGGATGGTAGCTTGATCTAGATTTGTTGGAGTAGTGATGAACTCGGGCGGTTAGTGGGCGGATAGTGATGAATCCATCACCGCTCCGTCAAGTGTTCAGGTTTGCCCGACCCCGACCCTTCACCCGGTCAACTCGGTTTTTCCCTAGTTTAACTGGTGCGATTTTGGGCGGGCACCCGAATTTCTGGTTAGGTTTGCCATCCCTAACTCACTGAACCGGGTTTACAACCTTGTTTAAGAGCCTTGGTTGCTGGCTCACATATCAATGCTATCTCTGCCTACTCCCTAGCACATTGACCTCCCACTTTCGGATCAGCAGCTTCTTTGTTGTGGACTAGGTAACCAGTTCGCGGAGCGAGAGCGGGAGCGAGAGCGTCAAAGCATCTATCTTAAAAAGAATTATATTGAGAGCGTGAAAAAGCGTCATTATTATATTATTATTTATATAGAATACCTGATAATAATTAAAAATAAAATTCATTGAATAGAAGGCAACCAAACTTCAACCCTCAAAGTTTTTCTAAAATAAACTAAATTATGTACTTGTGCAACAAGTTGGGGTAGTCAAAGCCCAATCCAACAAAACAATAAAAATGAGTTCAATAGTTGTTTTGTGCAAGGTTTTGCTACGGACTTCATTAAGAGCATCCACATTGGTATTGCATTCTCAATTGCAAAATGACATGACATAGGTGTTTGCAATTGCAAAACCAATTGCATTGATATGGCTTTCAATTGCATATTTGCAAGCTTGCAACAAATGCAATTCCATATGCAAGTAAAAAAAGCCTAAAAAATGGGGATTTTGTATTTTATATTATTTTCTTTTCTCTTTTACTTAACTTTCTATAATTTAAACATAATATTTAATTATATTTGCAATTGCAAGTTAAATGCATTGATATAGGTGAATGAAATGAATGTGATATGAATTGTTGACAATAAAAAACACAAATACAATTGTAAAGCAATTGCAAAGCAATTATATTGATGAAAATGCTCTTAAATGGAACGTGGACAGTGGATACGAGTCCTGCCTCCAACAAAATTTTCTCATTTATTTTCACAAACTTCACCTAACTTCTAGGTCACCGTCAACACTGAGCAGTCTCCTTCTTTCTTATCTTCAATTGGAACCACAGATCAATTACTCGCCTCCATTGAATTGAAACTCATTCTTTTGAATGAGCACTTCTACTATGCTATATAGTATTGGTGCTTTAATGTAAACCTTGAAGTTGTACCATAACATTAAATGTATAAGTTTAGGTTGTACCATAAAGGAATTTGTATTATTATGTTATGGTACAACTTTACAATTTGAAGTTGTACCATCACATAAGGTACAAGTTTAAGTTGTATCACAAAAGAATTTGTACAAAAAAGTATAGGTACAATCTGAAATTGTACCATAACATTAAATGTACAATTTCAAGTTGTACCATTAACGTAAAAACCTATAGCACCAATGGTATATAGCACTGTAAAATTCCTCTTCAAAGAATAGCCAAAAGCGTTGAACGCTGGGCGGCTATCGTCGTTCTCTCGACCTCATCCTACACTTCCTTCGACCTGTGCTTCGCGCTACTGCTTCAACTTTTGGTTCACTACATCTGTCTCTGTCCTGCCTTCCAATCCGGTGTTCCACCATTAATACTCTTCTGCCCAGATTCACCTCCGTCGCCGCCGAATCGCCGTCACAACCAACAACGACGTTTAAATTTAATACACCCAACGCGGCGGGAAATCGGCCAAGTCAGCGTCGATTGGAACAACTTGTGGACTTCGCCACTTTCCAGTGAGCTGCAGAGAGCACAGCGAGAGCGACGTAGACTTCCAACAACAGTTTTCAGAACTCCGAGGCCAAAATCTTGGATTGAATCAAGGCAGGCAGGCAGGCAGCGCTTCTCTACTTCCTTGCTTGTTGGTGAGCGAGATTCCTTTATTTGTTTCTTCTCTGTTCTTTTCTTTACAGCACGGCATTGATCGATGTGACTACATTCCCAAAATTAACAAGGGATTTTGAAATCTTACAGAGAAACGAACAGGAAGGGACTGTTGTTGATAGAACGCAGAGCGGCATTACCGAGCGGGAACTTCGAGGTTAGTGGTGTTTGTGTTTTATAGCTTGGTATGCTGTGTGAGAATTTAATTTGTTTTCCCCACTCGCAATTTTCTCTCATGGCATGACAATCTGGAACCTAATCTATGAACCATCTTGTCTTATTTCTAAGTTCTTCATTTTCACACAAATCTGGAACTTGCCACCAGACTTTGGTGCTTCTTTCTGGGAAAGTTCTTTATCTTGGCACCAAATCAGACTTACTTGCCATTGATATGCCAAGTGACCAAGTAATAAAAAGGATGCTAATGTGGAAATCGAAGCATTGTACACTATTCTATGATCTAACAATAATAAAGAGTAAGATGCGTTCTTTCTTTTGTTATGATCACTTCAAGCCAGGATTTCCTCTTGCATCCTTTTTTATTCTTATGACGAGGTTGACAACTCCAACCACCTGATTATTGGTTTTGTCATTAAGTTTGATTGCTCACAGCAGGAGAGAAAACCAACCAGATTTGAGTTGAACTTGCTCTGGATTTTACAGTGGATGAAACATCAATGCATTATGATTTTCTTATGGTGTGTAGTAGTTTGAGGTCTTGACTCCAAGATGTGTTCTTTTTCCCTCTTGTTATTAGGTTGAGAGGCCAGGAGTCGTGTGTGGAGGTCCTTGATAGTCATAATGGAAGAAACAGGAAATCCACATCCTTATGTGCCCACAGATCTGCTACTCCCCGATTATGTGCCTCCATTTCTCTCTCAATCCGCCATCCTCTGCATTTACGGGGTTGTCTCTCTCGTTGTCGTTTCCACTGTTTGGATCTCTTCTGGTTTGCTTTCAATCTCTAACCTCCTTCTTCCTTTTCAATCCTTCTGCATGCTGTAAATCGTTCGATATCATTACTGTAAATAGATCCTAGTCACCTACATTGTCACTGCTCGCCCCTAAGTTCACGCTTAATTGATGGTTTGATTGAGTATTTGTCCAATCACTTAGATTGCCTTTGGGGTCTCTTTTTCCTCTACCGTGTTGACTTCTTGGATTTTGGTTTGTCTGCCATACACATAGGCAAATGCTTCAGAGAGCAACATTCCCCTTTCTCCCACTTCCCAAACCCTAAACATCAGATGCAGTTGTGTTCTTAGCCTACCCCACTACTAGTTTCCGTCCCTTACTGGTTTCTTACAGGTCCAACTGAATTTCTTCTTTTCGAAACAGGCTTCTCCCGGAAAATAGCTAAACTTGACAGGCTTCTTCTTTGCTGGTGGGCTTTCACTGGTCTCACACACTTGATTCTCGAAGGATATTTTGCTTTTGCACCGGAATTTTACAAGGACAAATCTGGGTTTTTCCTTGCTGAAGTTTGTGAGTATTCTACTTATGTTCGTTCAATTGGCCAATAGTTCTTGTCGGGAATTGGTATGACTTTGCTGGAGTCCTGTGCTATGTTTCCACAAACAATAATCCAGTTTGGAAAATCTTACAGGGAAAGAATACAGCAAAGGTGATTCAAGATATGCAGCAAGAGATTCTGGAGTAGTTTCTGTTGAAGGATTGACAGCAGTCTTCGAGGGGCCCGCCTGCCTTTTAGCTTTGTATGGCTTGCCGCGCACTGCACTTCTCCTTCAAAAACTCCGAATAGAATTATAGGTCTCTCAACTCTATTCTTTTTATCCTAACTTCCTTTTCCCTGAACTTTGCCATGTGCAGATATGCTATTGCTACAAGAAAGTCATACAGCTACATTCTTCAGTTTGCTATCTCCCTGGGACAGCTCTATGGAACTGCCGTGTATTTCATTACTGCATATCTAGAGGGCGATAACTTTGCTGCCAGTCCGCATTATTACTATGCCTACTACATTGGTGCCAATGCATCTTGGGTTGTCATACCCTCGTTGATAGCCTTGCGCTGTTGGAGGAAGATTTGTGTGGCCGTGAACGTTGCAGACCAGAAAAAGACCAAAACAAAAACCCGCTAAGTTAGCAGCTGACAAGAATGCCCGACTCCCTTTGCATCGTTGATGATATCTCGCTTCTCGCTACTTCTTGTTTGGTGGTTTGGTTTCTGCAACTGGAAGGGTTGGAAGCATTATTAATCAGGAGAGATTGAAAACTTGGGATCATTCTTTTCGAATGTGTTCCTAATGAAATTATGTATTGTCTGGATCGATTGGAACATGTGCTGTGTCTCGGCAGAGTGCTTTCTACTGTGAACCTTAGAATTTTCGATTTCATCTTCATGTTCGTGTTTGTTCTTCTCTCACAACAATATCCACCAACTGTTTCAGTCAAGGCTTGGACTGCGCCAGAGAGTAGGTGCGAAACCCCAGCCTTTGTTACTTGTCTAGCTGCTCTTGGATAGAATAAATTTCATTGTAGGGTTGAGAAAATTTAGGGTATTCTTGCACAGTGGAAAAAATTAGGTTTTTTTTTTGTTGTTGTTGAGAAATTAGGTTATGGTATGGAATATAAATTTCAGAGGCCACCCAATCAAATTTCTAAATATACGGCTCTGGATAGGGTGCATAACTCTTGGTTGGGCAATCATCCAACAATTTTTTGAGTTGAAAATGCTACAAATGATGCTACAAATGGAGGCAACCACCCAACAACTTTTTGAGATGAAGACTTTCACAATCTCACCATCAGTAGTAGCTGAAATCTTTGAATGTGATTGGTGCACTCTTGCATAACTAGGTCTGAACCTTCCCTTTTTAATGGCCAGAAAATTCAAATATAATTGTTGAAAATTAAATGCATTTTTTTCTTTAGTTTTCTTAATCGATTTTCATCTTCTTCGTTTTAACTCGGATTTCAAAATTTTTTTTTTTTGCACAAATGAATAAAGTTCGTTGTGCTCTACAAAATGGTCTTCATTTTCAATATTTTTGAATTTTTTTTTTTCATAACTCTTGTTACCAACTCCATACCATATTTAAGTCGTTTTTTAAGATTTTTGCACAGAAGAAACGAGTTAATCATGATCTATTGGATCTAAAAATTTATGGGTGAAAAAAGATAAAAGAACAAAAAAAAATATCACATTATACCATCCTGGTATGAGGGATGGTATCTTGTGGTACAAAATGTTGAAAGTCGTAAATGACAGTTGGTATACTCCTACTATCATGTGTTCAACCATCCTACAGTCTTGATATGTTCATACCACAATGTACACTTTCATACCATCTGGCATCTGGTACGCTCTGATTTTAGTATTAATCAATACCACCATGGTATAGATTGGTAAAAAATGTCTCAATTTTTTTGTTCCAAAAATATATCAAAGTGGATATAATTTTGAAGAGTATAATTAATCTGATTTATCTCTCCAAAAAAAATTCAAATTCTGGGTTAAAACGAGAGAGATATCGTTAGTTAAAATTAAAGAAAAATATCAAAGATTTTTTTATGAGAGAGAGAGGTGCTGATGTGGCGGATTCCGCTTGAATTATGCATCGTTATAGACATGATCCATTCCCTAAATATACTAGGGTAGTGATGGATGTGCGGTTTGTGGTTTACCAAAAATTGTGTCGGATCACATGTTGCTTGGTTAATATTACTCATATTTTGGGCACCATGAGTTATGCACCCATAAAACTAAATCTGGATCTTTCTTTTTCAGTTTGCCCATAAAATCCAGATCTAAGAGTGAAAAATTAAGGGCATTTTTATTTTTTCTAGTTTTCTTAATCGGCTCATATCTTCTTCGTTTTGACTCGGATTTCAATTTTTTTTTTTTTGCACAGACGGAACGAGTTCGTTGTACTCTAGAAAATGAGATCCATTTTCAATATTTTTCGAGAAAATAAATTTCATGCCTCTCGTTACCAACTACATACCATATGATATATTCTTTTTTAAGTCATTTTTGAAAAATTTTGCACAGAAGGAACAAGGTCATCATGATCTATTGCATCTACAAATTTTCGGGTGAACAAAATACAAGACCAAAAATTACCACCTTGGTACCGGGGGTGGGGGGGGGGGGTATTTTGTGGTACACAATATTGAAAGTCGTAAATTACAGTTAGTATACTTCTACTATCATGTGTTCAACCATCATACAATCTTAGTATGTTCATACCACTATAATATGATCATTTTAGTTTAATCCCGCCCAAAAGTGGGCCGGTTTCTTTTTTCACTTTGCCGGCAATTATTAGTATTATTGGGCCCAATTACAATGCCCAGTGCTTAGTCCAAATCGTTACAAAATTTTAGGTTGTAATGAGTGTTTTTGAAAAAATTAGTAACTAATTTTTTGGGATTGCTATTCGTCGCCCTAAAAATCCTTATTCGTCGCCCTAATTATGTTAAATTTACTATAATACCCATCGCCCTTATTTCACTTTTTCATCCTAACTTTAAATATTCTACTGTTCTTGTTCCTATAAGAAACCCAAGTCGGAGTTCAAGAGATCGATAACCCATTTCTGTCCCACTTCTTTCTTCCCCTCTGCCTTGGTTTCTAATTCTATATTGTATGTGAGAAGGTCATGAGCAGGGGGAGCCTGGTTGGAATCCCTCACTTTCTGCGCAACCAAACTAAACAAAACAGTAAAAGAAACAAACTTAGAGGGTAAAGGAAATGGAGCGAGCACAATCAATAAAGAGAACACGTTAACAACTTGGAAAGCAAAATAAGACAGCAGGGAGATAAAAGGGATTGAAGAAGAAGGCACGTACCAGGAACAGGAAGAGCAAGAGAACGGAGAGTAGCCAGCGGCGGATCCAGGATATAAAAGTGCATTGGGCCGGATTTGAATATAAAATTAGATACCGTAAACAAAAAAAAAATTATAGTTTGCATTACAATGTCAATTGTACACGACGGTCTTTTAATTTAGCAAATTCGTCAATAATTGAGTCTTCATCCATACCAATAACATACTCTCTCTCAAAGAAAATAGTTAAACAATCAGCAAGAAATTCATCGCCCATCTTGTTGCGCAAATCAGTCTTCACATGTTTCATTGCTGAAAAGGATCTCTCTGTAGTAGCCGTTGAAACAGGCAATGTCAACACTAGACGAATCAACCGACAAATCAATCTGTACCGTGCGACCATCCCTGTTTCCACCAGCTTCTCTAGTAATTTTGCAAGGGAAGAAACATCATATCTTGACTATGAACCACATGATCGGCATAATATCCTAGCTCATTCTTCAAACAATTCATCTCATTGCCTTCAAAGTCTCGAGGATAAAACTCTTCAGCAAGTCTGTAAATATTTTCTTCATCAAAAGACCGGAAAGAACTTTTAGGGTCTAGTGCACCACTCAACTGAAGCAATCTGACTGAGGACTCATTGAATCTTGATAGTAAGAAAACAATGTTGTTTTCACCTTTTTATTTGGTGGTTGAGAAGATGTCATGATGAAATATCTTGAAATCTGCATAACCAATTATACATGTACACAACTCAGTCAAACACTAGATTCTAATAAAATTTGGATACAAACTACTGTGAAGGGAATAAGACTAACTTAGTTTCTAAGTAAATAAGACTAACTAAACTAAGACAATAAGATCAATTGGCAAATTGCAATTACCTGTTGTTGTTGTCCTTGTCGTCTAATCACTACTGTGAAGGGAATTGATCGGAACTTAACATAAATAGTTGGAAACGCCGCCTTGCTCTCTTCGTTACATAAATAGTTGGAATTGGCCAACAAGAGACTCGGCCTGGCCAAGGGATCCGCCGCTGCTGGCGCTGCGGTCTGCGGAGTGCGGAGAAAGAACGTCTGCGGAGTGCGGAGTGCTGGAGATGAATACCACACGCACACTGCCAGTCTGCCACAGGCCAGCCTCAGCCTGCCTGGCCAAGGGATCTCCGGCGCCGGCCGCCGGGTCAGGGTGACAGGGCTCCGGTGATGGTCTCGGGACGGGGAGGTGGCCGCTGGGGACGAGCAGGAGCAGCGATCAGCGAGACTGTTGGTCTTCTTTTTTCTTTTTTGTTCCAAACTTGCAGGGGAAGCTAATAATGAATAATGGTAATGAGGAGTCGGGCGGGAGATTGTTATTCACTTTGGGTTGTTTGGGCTTGTTATTCACTTATTTGGGTTGTTTGGGCTGCAGGGAAAACTAATAACTAATGATGAACATGGGCTGGGTCTTGAGATGGGCTGGGCCCAAATATTTATACAATGAAATGCGGCTGGGTTGGGTTTTGGGGTGGCAGGGAGGGCTGGGCCCGGGCCCAGTCTGGCCCCCCTGTATCCGCCGCTGTCGGGCGGGAGATTGTTATTTACTTTAGGTTGTTTGGGCTTGTTATTCACTTATTTGGGTTGTTTGGGCTGCAAGGAAAACTAATAACTAATGATGAACATGGGCTGGGTCTTGAGACGGGCTGGGCCCAAATATTTATACAATGAAATGCGGCTGGGTTGGGTTTTGGGGTGGCAGGGAGGGCTGGGCCAAGTCTGCCCCCCCCCCCCCCCCCCCCCCCCCCTGTATCCGCCGCTGAGAGTAGCTAGGTTGTGGATTAGAGCTGAAACAGAGTCTCTCCGACATGGAAGGATTATTGAGATATAATAATTTGGACTCGGGAATTTTTTATTCAGTCTGCTTAGATTTTCGTTTTACTTCATTTCTTTTACAAATTTATCGCTCTAGAAAAGGAGGAGTGTGTAGTGAACAGCGGCGGCGGCCGGAACTTTGCTCGTGGGAACTGGGAAGTTAGGGGTTGAGGATTGAAATTGAAAATAGGGGTATAAACGTCAATGTAATATGGTTTAGGGAGAAAAAATTTAAATTTTAGGGCGACAAATAGCAATTCAGATTTTTTTTTTATAAATTGCAAGTTTGGTTACTAGAATTACTAAAACTTTCACGTTTGCTACTAAAATTACTTTATTCTATAAGTAGTCACTCAAATTAGTTCGACAGTTCACGTTTAGTCACTCTCCGTTAGTCTCCGTTAACTTTAGCTGACGTGGCAGTCAACTCTGAAAATTAACCGTTAAATAAGTGACGTGGCAATAAAAAAAATCTTTTAAAATTCCACCTCATTATTACAATAAATTAAAAAATAAAATAATAATTATTATTATTATTGTTAAAAATTTCTTCAGATCCCCGCCGCAACTTGGTAAAATCCCCCACCGCACCCGCCAGCATCATATGTACTCTGTTTTCCCTCGGAAATTATCCCGAACGCGTGCCGCTCATACAACGGAGAGGGACTGATTCTCCCCAGCATCCCAGGCCTAACCCCACCTTCGAATTTGATCAATGAGGCGTGTCTAGACGGTGACGACGACATCTTCACAGGGACCCGTCTCACCGTCAGCCAGGGATTAAGATTAGCACAGAGATCCCCACCGTGAACAAAAAATCCTGGTGTTTCATTAATTTCTACCCCGACTGCTGGTTGCTGTAGGATTTAGTTGTCATATGGTAGGCGATTGTGAGAGTAGGCAGAGCGTCGTCCATCCCGCGAATTTGTGGACTCTTTCCAAGAAATTGTGGTGGAGATGGTGGACGAGTGGGGAAGCTGCGAAGCACAAGAAGCAGAGAAGCGAAAGAATGGCGGACACCACTGCTATGATTCCTGACGATGTGTCGCCTCTGTTCTTCAGGGTGAGAAGTAGAGCATTGACGAGCCAACAAACAGAGGAAATCCCGCAGCTGCTATGTATTCCGCCCAAGCTCTGAAGAAACGACGTCGCGGCGGTCTTAATCGATCTTGGGATTAATGGTCTCCCCAAGGTTTTGACGGCCTGCCATGATACGATTGGGAGGAAGGCTTCGTTGCGGCAGAGAGTGAGCGCGAAGATGTTGCTATGGAAAGCAGAGGAGCTTTATATTTATGGCGCAAGGGAGGCTCAAGATAGGCTGCATAACCATGGGTTATGCACCCATCAATAACTAAATCTGGACTCTTTATTTAGAAAATTCAGATCTAAGGAAGGATAATTAAAGACCATTTTTATTTTTTTCTAACTTTCTTAATTGACTCATATCTTTTTCGTTTTAACTCGGATTTTAATTTTTTTTGCACAGATGGAATGAGTTCATCGTGCTCTACAAAATGAGATCAATTTTTAAAATTTTTTGAAAAAAAAAAATTCTGGCCTCTCGGTACCAACTGCATACCATATGGTATCTTCTTCGTTTTTAATTCGTTTTTGTAAAAGTTTACACAGAAGGGACGAGTTCATCATGATCTATTGGATCTACAAATTTCTGGATGAACAAATTACAGGACCAAAAAATACCAAACAATACCACCCTGGTACGGGGTGGTATTGTATGGTATCTTTTTCGTTTTTAATTCACTTTTGAAAACGTTTGCACAGAAGGGTCGAGTTAATCATGATCTATTGGATCTACAAATTTCTGGGTGAACAAATTACAAGACCAAAAAATACCACACAATACCATACAATACCACCCTGATACGGGGTGGTATTGTGTAGTATACAATGTTAAAAGTCGTAAATGACAATTAATATACTTCTACTATCATGTATTCAACCATCCTACAGTCTTGGTTTGTTCATACCACCATGGTACGTTTTTCAAATCATAGGTATGCTTTTATTTCAATACCAGTCAATACCATATGGTATAGACTGGTAAAAAATTGCTCAATTTTTTTTTGTTCGAAAAATATATTAAAGTGGATATCATTTTGAAGAGCACAATTAATCTGATCTTACTATGCAAAACAAAATTAAATTTCGACTTAAAATGAGTGAGAAATCGTTCGTCAAAGATTAAAGAGGGGAAAATTAAAGGCTTTCCAGGAGAGAGAGCATGCTGATATGGACGGGTTACTCATGGTTACTCACCATAAGGTTACTGACCTGAATCATTCCCCGCAAGGGAACTTGTTTATGGAGTGATAACTATTGTAACTATTATAACTTTTTGTTTATTTTTTAAGTGAAATTTTCAAAGATCAAATTTTATTTTTTATTGTCACATCACTTATTTAACGGTCAACTCTCAAAGTTGACTGCCACGTCAGCTAAAGTTAACGGAGAGTGACCAAACGTGAACTGTCAAACTAATTTGAGTGACTACTAATGGAATAAAGTAATTTTAGTGGCAAACGTGAAAATTTTAAGTAATTTTAGTGTCCAAATTTGCAATTTACCCAAAAAAATTTAGATTGCTAATTGTCGCCCTACTTCAATTGTAATCGTCAAGGTTGTCAACCCGTGGGTTGACCCGGACCCAATCGAGCTAGTGGGTTAAGGGTTAATGGGTCACCTGTTTTAGCCTGTTTTAGACCGAAAATATGGAAAGATCATTATATTGTACTTATCCAGATAAATTATATCAAATCTCATCTAACGTATGAGTTATAATATTACACTAAAATAACATGTACTTAGATTCAACATATAGTGAAAATTCACACACACTTATATAACATCAATATTCAAATGTTCAACTTAGGATTCCAAAGATTGAGTTAGGCGTAAAGAAAAATCAGGAAAATAGGCGTATTTCACAAACCAAAGAAAAAAATGACACAATTTGACTTTCAAACTGGTACCTTGTAGCGGTCGACCCGGCGGGTGCGTGTGGCCCGTTTTTCTCACTGGGTCAGGGTCAAAATGGGTCGACCCGCGGGTTGACAACCTTGGTAATTGCCCTAGTTTAAAAGTTAAAATTACATTGTTACCCTTTTGTTTTGTTTTATTGTTATCGCCCTAGTTAAATACCCGTCGCCATCATGATCTTCCGCTGCCACCACTACCCCCCGAAAGCCATCGCGTATTAAGTTTCGGCTTCACCATAGGTAACCGCATCGAGCACCCGCTTCCACTTGTAGACATGTCGCTCATCAAGCCTCCGTAGCCACATAGGCTCCCGCAGACCGATCGAGATACCACTCACCAATTCATTACTTCTCAGCGCTAGTCGACTTCGTCATAGTTGCATCTGTCAATTTTCGACGCAAGCCCACAAGCCTTAACAGGCTGCTACCATCGCTACTCGGGACAAGCAAGTCGCTCTGAATTTCCAGGCCGGCCGGATGCCGCTTAGCTATTTCCCCTTTTCAGACGTCTAAGTGTATATATATTGCTCCCAAACAGGGGATGCTTGCTAAAGTTGGATTGCATGTTCTGGGCTGTTGGGACTTTTAGGGACGAGGGTATACATACGATAGCCCGAGACCGGGTGACTAGGATTATGATAGAGTCGTGAACTACGTTCACTTTCCGTAAAGAATATTTCCACCCTCAACAAGCCTAGGGTTACAGGAAATTTCTTCGTAGGATAAAACTATCACCACTTTAGGTTCCAGACTTAAATACCTAAAGCATACTTAGAACTTTTAGTAGGAAGAAGAATTGATTTTTGGTGTGTATCTTCTTCCATATGCAACCATCTCTATTTATAGAGACCGAACAAGCATGTTGCTTCAATCCGAAACATTACCTTGTTCCAAGTAAACCGTTGCAACTTATGGGAAAAGATAGGAACAATACATGGCACCATTAATTTGATTAGCCGGTACGGTTGGAACCAAGCGGCCTGCCTACTGGGAAGAGACGTCTCTTCATGAGCCAAGGTCCCCATCCGTTGCCATTATCAAAATAATCCAACCACCAATTCCAAACGTTCATGGAACCTTTAAATTGGAATGGCCCTGCAAATGAAATTGCCCTCCACAACCGTCCATGCATTATAAATATGGCCACTTTAATTATAAAGAAACGTTGCCAGGACCAAGTGAGCGGTTGGATAATCAATTGGAATTGTAGGCTAATTAATTTTAATTATCCTGAGCCAATAATTTAACTAACTCGGTCCAACCTCAAACCTGTTTGACCCGGTTAGTTTGGTTCAACCAAATTTCCAACATGGGCGGCGGGGAAGATTTTGAAGGGACGTCGTCCTTGTTGAAAGAAGATGGAGGATTAGGGTTTTAGGGGCTGTTTGTGTTGTTGCTTTCGGTTTGATTCAGGTTAATTTAGAAATTTTATATTAGGGCGATAATAGTAAAGTTAATGCGATGTTTACTCATTCAGATTTTTTTATTTGTAGTAACTATGATTTGAGTTTCAATAGGAAAATTATAAGTGTAAGATGTTTGTTATGAAGGGAATTGCGTATAGAAACTTAAATCGCTAATTCAATAACAAGTTTAATTACTAATCAATTTACTTATTTATTTATAAGCTTCGGCAATGTTTAATAAAATTATTAAATAGACAACAATGAATTAGGTGTAACCTTTCATCTAAACCTATATATAAGTTGGAGCTTTATGAGTACTAGTTGTTTTGTCCGCGCTTCGTCGTGGTATGAAACTAATTACATTTAAAATTTATTCACCCATTTAGTTGAATTAAATAATTCATAAAATAGTAGGGTAAAATACTTTTATAAGCTATACATAAGTTCTTGAGTATTATGGAGGACATATGTAATACATTTTTTAATTGATACATTTGAAATAACTATCTTTTGATAAGGTTTATGCAACGTGTTCGTAATTTACATAATTTTTATAGAATAGTGTTACATAAATCTTCTGTAGTGTGGTTAAATAATAACATCAAGTTACAAATTGAGAGAAGTCTCACTTTGATTACAATATAATGTAAATAATAACATCAAGTTACAAATTGAGAGAAGTCTCACTTTGATTACAATATAATGTAAAATTAAATAATCTTACGAACCTTTGCTTAATACAAATGGATGAGATGATAAATATTATATGCAATAATAAAGAATATTTATTTAATAATAAATGAATTGAGTTACAAAAGTTATTTTTGATTAACTTGTTATGCAAATTGATGAGATGATCAACAATTTAGTTAAAATTTAGGAATTTCATTGAAACTCATATTATGAAAGACATACAAATTGATACATATGAAATAGCTACCCTCTGTAAGTTCTATGTAATATACTTATAGTTTACATAATTGTTATATAATATTTTTACGTAAATCGTTCATACTGTGTGGTCTAATAATAAAATAAAACTATGTACAATATCACATTCGATTAAAGTACTATGTAAAAGTTAACTGGTGCCTTAAATATATAACTTTTGCGTTAGGAATACTAAAACGAAGTAATAATTGTGGCAACCATCTTTAGCATGTTTGATTTTTTTTATAATGGTTTTAGCATGTTTGATTTAGATGGTTTAGTTTGATTTAGATAGTTTAGTTTGATTTCATATATTACTTCATTCAGACACTACTCAAAAGTAAACCATTTCTCCTTTTATATCCAAATTCGCATGTGGCAGTACTTTGTTTCCCATTAAACATACCTTTAGTTTCTAGCTTGACAATATTAACAAAAAACACTAATATTAATCAACATATACATAAATTGGTTTTAAAAGGAAGAAGATACTAACTCTCCAAAGATGATTTGCTTCTCCATTTTAACACCTTCAATTCTCTATAAATAACTTCAAAAATAATTTGTTTTCCCCAAATCTCAATTCTCCACCATGATCATGATCAACATCTCACTCATATCCAAACTATCTAATGACTTCTTCATTGATGCCACATGCCTTCCTTCATGACAAGTGGAAACACAGCAATGCCACTTAGCCCTCATAACTTCCTTTCCCTTTGCATGTTTAATTTAATTTAATTTGTTTTGTTTGAGTGTTGGCCGTCCATTCTAATTCGATCTCATTTGAATAGGAGAAGAAGATT